TATATATATACATATACATATAATTACACTAGTAACTAGTGCTAAGTCTAACAGACTTGATGCTAACAAATAATGGCAATTACCACTAACGCTAAAGGAAATTAGCATTGCGGTAATATTACCTTAACAAACAATCTATCTTACTTCACTTAACATAAAACAACATATTTTCAGGAATATATTTGGTGTTCTCTGTGGAAACAAAATAATAGGTGCTGATTTACCATTGCTAACTCAATCTGTTACACTGACCAGTTACAGCAACCTCAAAGGATCAAAACTCAAACTCAAAATTCCCAGTGGGTTTAAAAACACAGCTACCACTAGGTGAAGACACTGCATGCCAGGAGAGCGCAGCACATACACTATGTTGTATTTATATGAGACTAGAGAGATTGTTGATGACATTAAAAAACAGAGACTTATCTACTCTCTAGTCCACCTTTACAGCCTTGTTGTGTTTATACTCTTGCAAACTATTCTAACTCAGACTTCACATATTGTAGATATGAATTACAAGATTTAATTATAGTAGTTTGTGTTGTTTGTTTATAGCCTAACGTTAGTTAGTACTTCTGCCGATCATATGTACACTTAAGGAATCATAAAAGTGGTGTTCATTTGTGAAGATTATCTGGCTGAAGAAAACGTACAAGTATTATAAAGCTTTGTTCACCACAGACATGGTTTTCTGCAATAATCAAAACGTTTATCCAAGGAATCCGGGCGGTGCTAACTTACGGGTTGGACTACAAAAAGGCGTCGTTCCCACCAATTTATACAATATAAAAAATTGTTCTACTAATGTTAGGTATGTAGAGTGTTGTTTGAAGTAGTTATTCATTTGTTTTCTGCTGTACGTAATTGATATTATAAACAGACATATAAATCTCTTGTGAAATCTTTATTAAATTAATTTAAAATGCTCTTAATTGAGCCTCAAGCAAGGCTGCATTATTTGGTTCCTGAACAGACATGGTTTTCCTTTGTTACAACAGTCAGTGTTTCAACAGACGGCATTGTGCCATGGAAGGAATTTTAGTTCTGCTTGTCCCTTGTTGTGTTCCTTGTAGAAACAGGACAGATTGACCCCATCCTCATCGAGCGCTACAACACACCGGGCTTTGTGGGCTGTCTGTCAAGAGTTCAGCTAAACAGTGTGGCACCATTGAAAGCTGCGCTGCGCTCGGGCCTGGCTGCACCCATCAGCACCCATGGGATTCTGGTCCCATCCAACTGTGGAGCCTCACCCCTGACCATTTCCCCCATGGCCTCGGCTAGTGACCCTTGGCACATCGAAGCTGGTAGAGACAGTTTGAAGGAACATTAGGACATGCTAAAGTTCAGTCTATGTCAGAATTCAAACTGATAACAGATGTTTGCTTTGTCCACAGCTGGAGCTGTTTTTCCCTTCAACGAGGACAAGGCCAGTGAGGATGGAGTAGATCGCAACTCTGCCATAATTGGAGGTAAATCCAGAGTTCTTTTTACTTGCAAGTGCCCAGTTGGGCAAGTGGAATCAGAAATCTATTTGCCCAAAGTAAATTTTTATTGCCCCTACACGAATTGTTTCATTTATTAGCGGTTATCAATAACAACAAAGACCCTCTCAGCTGCCATGCAAGCGAGATGTTGATGGCTCTTACTATGGTACTCTTTGAAAAACGACCCAGTTTTATCCACCTTGCTCTTAAACTTGCAGCACCCACTTTGTCTTTACCTGCCATTGTGAGTCGGGATTCTTGCAGATGGACTTCTGCCTTCTATTGTATTCTAGTTGTTTACCTGATTCAAAAACCTTTCCTAGCCTTCCTAGTATTGTTTGTCCTATTTCTTTGTACTTTACTGCCCCTATCGCATGTTGATGACATAAACCTGAGCAACACTGTGAAGGTCTTTACCGGTTCTCTATGCTTCCCAGAATACAAAGCCCAACTCGGGCCCCAATATGAGCCAGGTCTAAATGATATTCAGTGTAATCGGGGTTTGTAGGGTCCTGTTTTATTGCTCTCTGTGTCAAGTTCCAAGTGGGCTCCACTGTGGCTGCTTTGTTAACTGGAGGAGCATTGTGCTGCTGCCAGTGTTGGTGTCCTATCATTGCTTACATCTGTTTGGGTCCACTGCATTTCAGATTGGGTCTTACCATCTATTGGGATCTGTTGTCTTTTGAATGTAGGCACAATGAGTTCAGGAAGGAGTTACAGATGGTTTCAACTTGGAAGGACCACTTCAATACTTTCCTCTGCACTGTATTCTGTGCCCCGCCTTTCACTGCACACTGTTCACAACGCTCATAATGTGTAAATAGCCTTACACATCCAGTGTGTAGGCTTTAGTGACATCTAGCGGTGTAGTTGCAGATTGCAACTCCCTTGCTTCAATCTCTCCTTCAAAGTCTGAAAAACACCAATGCCCCTATGTAGATCCAGTGTTTGGTTTGTCCATTCTGGGCTACTGTATAAACATGGCGGACTCCATAGAAGAGGACCCGCTCTGTCTGTAGATAAAAACAGCTCATTCTAAGGTAACAAAATCTCATATTCAGGTGATATACACTAATAATTACCTTTGAATTTATATTCCATTTCTGACAATAGATCATCCACAATGTTACACACTGCACCTTTAAGAACATCAGACAGTACATTTCAACTTAAATAATAAATAAATAAATAGTAGTAGAAGTAGAGCTGAAACAATTAGTCTATTAATTGATTGTCAACTATTAAATTAATTGCCATCTATTTTAATGATCAATGAATCATCCAAATTCTCTGATTTTAGCTTCTCAAATGTGAAGTGTGAAATCACCATCAGTCACTACTATCAGTGTGTAGCAGTGCTGCTACTGTTCTTGCTGTGCACCTGTCTTTACCTCTGTCTCTGTCCTTCTGTCTTCACCTCTCTCTCTCTCTTTCTCTCTCTCTCCCTCTCTCTCACACCAACTGGTGGAGGCAGATGACCACCCACCTAGAGCCGAAGGGTCTGTCCTAGGTTTCTGCCTCTTAAAAGGCAGTTTTTCCTTGCCCCTGTCGCCAAGTGCTTGCTCATGGTGGTACTGTTGGGTCTCTGTAAATGTCTATAAGGGAGTCTTCGTCTAGACCTGCTCTACCGTTTGAAAAGTGTCCTGAGATAACTTCTCTTATGAATTGGCGCTATACAAATAAAACTGAATTGAATTTAATTTAATTTAATTAAAGTGGGTACAGCTTGGGTTTGCACCTAACCTTTGTTAACAGATTTCATATTTGTAGTTCATTTGATTTCAGTTGGTAATGTGTTCCAGAGTTGACAGCCCAGTGGAGAAAGCTGATTGTTCAAATTTAGATCTATAATGTGGTATTTTACAGTTAAATCTCTCTGGCTGGTGAGTGAGTCATTAAAAAATTAATACATTATTAAATGGGTATGACAATTTATTTCTAATAACCACCAAGTCAGCAGTTGAAAAGTTTAGTAGGTCATTCCTAAACCATCAAGTCAGCAGTTACATTTGCATGTTATTTGTTTTTTACTGTTAAACAAAGAAAACTCCAAACAACACAACCCCCCAATGTAAATACAGTCTTCAACAAAGAGAGGGGCAGATCTAGAGAAATATTCATGGGGTGGCCAGAGGGTGTCATGGAGAGGGATGGCCTAACCCTAACCCTTAATACGTGTCTGGGGGACCTTTAATGTAATAAAACAGTCACTGGTATCTTGGTGTGCACTGGATTATATTTGTTTTAATTTGTTTGAATATGTTGTTTAGTAA